GAGTCCACACCAGGGGATACAGCAGGAGACGTGCTGCAACCTCCCCACAGCATGCGTAACATTCCCCTATACTGAGTAAACACTCACGAACGTCTTCATCAAAATCGCTTCTCTGCTACATCCCCTCATCCATCGACCGGCAGATGGCGACACGCCGTTGTGCAACGTGGAGGCAGTTCACTGCACTCCTGTTCCTGAACGTGTGGAAGACCTGAAGCCACTGACCGCAACATGTGGGAACAACTTGGTGTAAAGTAGAGTATCTACTAAACCTTCTACCATCCCGTGACAGCGAGTGAGGAGAAAGCTAAAGTAGAATGAGGACAAGGAGGCCCATCAGACAGGAGTATAGTCGCGTACGTTCCTGCAGCGAGGTTCGGCTGCCGGCTCGAAACTTCCCCTCCGCCTCGTCTCCCTATCTTTACACAGCCAGTCTCCACACGCACACCAGACCACTCCCCAAAAAAGAAATCGCAGCACTCCATGTTTTTTCCATTAGTGCCCCGCACAAACGATCGTGTCAAGTTCCCCCACGTGGGTGAAAGTCTTACAGCAAGCGGATGGAGGATGAAGGCCTTGGCGATCTATGTTGGGGGAGCTGTGATTGTAAATGCGCTGCTACTGTTATGATCTTCTCCATCACTCTATCATGTGAGCTCCAATTTCCTGGGGGTCCGGCTGTGTGTGTAACGTTATTGTTGTCTCACTTAGCCCCCGAGTGTTTAAGGAGGACCCCCCGTTTAGATTGACCCACAGAGAAGGAGGATAGATGAATGTCGCCCACCTCCCTCCCCTCCTCTCCTCGGCCTTCACAGCACTCATCTCTCGCGCTCGTGGGCCGTCAGTGCCGACAGGACAGCAAACCATTGCCAGCGGACTACTCGGGGACTCGACCTCTCACATATACCCAGGGGGGGGAGGGGGAGGGGGAGGGGGGAGGGAAGGGGGGAGGGGGGAGGGGGGGGGGGGGATGGGGGGATACCACACACTTTCCTCTGCCAGCTGCAAATGCCCCTCATCCCCCCACTCATCTACATCACAGCCAACGAAACTACTGAAACTGAAAGAAGACTGGATGAGAAACTCGTGCCTGGCGCGTGACAACAAATGTCACGTCGAGAGATTGCAGTGATTGGGTGGAAGTGTAGTTAATAGGACAGCGGGACGGATATCTCTCCTCCCTGGTCTTCCTTCTCCCCAGTGATAGTGGGAGGAGCACTTGAACTATTACATTATGGAGACATCCATTAGTACTACTGTGTTGATTACCTAGGATTAAGAGGGACTTCCTCCTCCTCCCTCCCGGCCTGAGACACGAAAGAGATTGTCACTGCAGACCAATTCAGTGCCCAAAGACAAGGATCTCTGGTCAACAAGTACGGGCCACAAGATCTAGATGGCTGAACGGCGAATTCTTCCGCCACAACCAGTATACTTATCAACACATCTGCATAATGATGGGCAGCATTACTCCCTGCAAACTGTACTGAATTCGTTGAGAGGAAAGGTGGGTTGAGAGTGTCGGATTGGAGGGCGGCATTGATAGTGAGGAGAGTCAGTGATTTGTCGCGCGGCCGACAGGTGGCCGACTTGATAGATGGAGGCTGACGCAAGTGCTGCAGCCTGCAGCCTGAGTTTTTGGTCAGCTCGGGTCCTTCACCTCTCCGCCCGCCCGACTTGTCGTCCTCTGCTGCGACTCTCATGATGGTTCGGGACGCGCTCGGATCCGTGCGCCGACATCCCCTCCACCGAGTCCGAGTGTCACACCGTCCAGTGCCGGCATTGCGGGTATATTTCATAAAGCCTCCCAAAGGAAATACACGAGACTCGTAAGAATACAGTAAGTGTGTGATGCTGTTCCGTTTACTGCATGTGTGATGTGAAGTTATGTAGCCGTGTAGGCCACGCCGGGATGACAAGACGTAGGAGCGGGGGGAAGGGGCATTCACCTAACTATTTCGAATTTCTTGAGAAGGCCATGGTGTGATGGGATGTGTTGCGACTGTAAAAGTTAGTCGGGTCGAGTTGGTGCATGGGGGGGGGGGTGTCTGGCCATAATGGTGTTAAAGTATTGTGTTTTCATGGGAAGCAGCCTGGAGCACCGATTTTCAAGACCATCTCTTCTGAGCACGTGGTGGGGTGTGCCATGAAGCTGTCAAATGTGAGGTCACGAACGTGAACTCGTGTCCTATGAGGCTATTACCCACGAGGGGTGCCCGAGGGACCCCTCCTCCTCTTTAGTGAAATCCTTGAGGCTCCGAGTATGCTGATTGGGTTCCAGTCGTGGAAGAATTGCAAGGAGGATCTCCCCACAACCACCTCCAGTCCCACGCCACAGTCCAATACACAGGAGACCTAATACCCAGTTCAGTAAGAACTAGTCTCATTCTCTTCTTTGTGGGTGGCACGCGATCAACTTGGTGAATTTAAATCATAAATATTTTCAATGCAGTCTCAGAGCTGAATGGCGTGTTCTGGTCGAACGGTGAGTTCCACCTCTCAAGTGGCATATCTCGCATCTTAAGAAACGAATAGTGAAGGGAAGAGTGTTTACGTGAGTACCATGAGGCAGATGGTGACTCTACTCAGCACCCTTTACTTGAATCCTACACTCTGCGTCGAAGTGTAGGTCGTTTCGCGCGAGGGGCGGGTGTGTCGCGACGCGGCGCCCTATACCCAAGTTGGCGATTGATATTGGACGTCAGAACCGCTGCGGGGTTCCACCAGAGTAGCTCCCATCCCTTTCCCTCACCCAAATATTTCTTTTCCCCTATCTCGCCACTCCACAGATAAGAGAGAGTCTGGTATTTTCCAAAAGATCCTACTTCTGTCTTTCTTCACTGGAGGAAGAAGACAAAGGCAAGGCAGGTGCAGTGCGAGTGAAGAGGTAAGCTTCATAATGGCCACGGTCCACATGATCACTCAGTTGACCCGCGCCCCTGTTCCAGAGGAGTGGAGGACATGTACTGAGTTGTCACTACAAGAAAGCTTCGCTAGAAAAAGCAGCAGGTCAGTTGATATTTATGGGTATGGGTTTACTACCCCTCTCGACTGGCAGTGGAGAGGTGAAGATAAACAGAGATGAGGAGACAGAGAATAAGAAAGCTGGTTCAGATTTCTGCTGGAACTGGTGGGTATGAAGAGAGTTTGAGGAGAGGAAGGATACAAAAGTTGTGTGCTGCAGGACATACAGCTGGAGGGAGAGAGTGAGGTACTCCACACGTCAGAGTACGTGTACCTGGCAACAGGAGCCAGCAGCATCTGTGCCACACACTCCAATTTCCAGTGAGAGAAGAGAAATGTAGACGTGTACCTGGTGGTGTCTGTCAAGAACTTGGGAGCCTGGGTCCAGCACCTCATCCATAACAAGTGGAGCACGTGAGACCACGCCCAGTTTCCTCGCCACACCCACCGATCACGTCCCCTACAGATCTACAAAGTGACGGGAGACGAGAGATTTGAGCTAGTGATAGTGGACTACCAGAGTGGAGGACCTGGATGTGGCGGCAGAGCTGAGGGCCTCTTCTCTTCCCAGGTACACAGCCCTGTCCCCCTGTCTTCCTCAGCCCACCTCTCCTCCTCCAGATGGAAGGTGATCAGCATGACTGGAGGCTTCTCTCGCAGTGGAGGGCTCCAGGCCGGCATCGACTACGTGACGGTGAGTGGAGTGTGGGTAGGGGACAAGTGGTTGAGGCTTCACCCGTTCCTCAGAACCCCGACGCAATTGTGATGACCATTGACATGCACCTCACTCTACCTCCCGGCTTTGTGGAGTACACTCGCAGGGTAAGCCACACCCACTGCTGCCTGGGGAATTCCCTCTCCTCTGCCCTTCTCAGCATGTGGTGCAGGGGAAGATGGGGTTTGCCCCTATGTTCTTCCGTCTTAATCAGGGCTACACTGAGATTAACATCAACGGTCAGTCACTTTGCCGAAAATTCCTATATAGCATGTTCAAAGCGTGTTGCGGTCGATATTGCAGGATTCTGGGAGACTCTGACATATGGGCTACTGGGGATGTACAAGAGTGACTGGACCACTGCTGGAGGATTCGACGTACAGAAATACACCACCAAATGGGGTGGGGAGGACTGGGGCGCTGTGGACAGGTGAGTTCCAAAAGTGTCCAGCAATGTACCGACTTGTCTTTCTGTGCAGAGTTGTGACTCACGGAATTGAACTGTTCAGAGTCAGGTACCCAGGACTGGCGCACTACTTCCACACCAAAAAAGGCATGTGGGACAACAACCTACAATCTAAGTACAATCACTAGTACTACCATGGTTTTTCTGAATATTTTTTATTTTAAAATCTCCTCAACGTATTATTGTCGTGAAGGGAAGGAGAGTGAGAGAAGTGAGCTAGCAGTTGCAGGACCTGTTGTTCTGCTGGGTGAGGTGGGGATCTATGAGTGGTTCTAGTGTCCTCCGCTGACACTCCTGATCCAATCCTCCAAACTGAGAGTGAATTCTGCAAATCAACTTTTCAAAATCCTCCTTCACCCCCTGGCCAGTGAGAGCAGAAACCTGGGCCACTAGTTCTGGCGGGATCTTGTGCTCGCTGCTGAAGGCTTCCACTGTTGGTTCCATGGCGCAGGCGTTGTCAGACTCGCTCTTGTTGCCCCAGAGGGCCGGCACGACGTGGTGGGAGTTGAGGCTGCGGGCCTCACTCAGCCAGTCTCCCAGAGCAAACAGCGTGTCTTCTTCCTCCAGGGAGTAGACCAGAACCACTCCGTGGCAGTTCCGGAAGTAGTTTGCTGTCATGGCCGTGTAGCGCTCTAGTCCTCCTGTGTCCCATAGACTCACCTGCAGAACCACATGCCCATAATACCTGTATTGCATATACTGTACATAGCTACAGGGATCCACATGTGTGCTATATACGGGGCCCACTTCAGAGTCAAGTGAACAGAAATGTCACAACGTACCTTGACCTCCTCTCCATTGATCTTCAGACAATACACACCCCTCTCTAGTCCATCCTCGTACTGACCCGTTGGAGAGCGAGGATGTTCGGGAATGGAGTCGTAGAGGATACGGTGGAACAGAGCAGTCTTGCCCACCCCCACCCGGCCACCGAGGATGATGCTGTAGTGACAGGCCTCGCCTCCCCTGGAGAAGGTCGCCATGGTATGTATAGAGCCACGCAGTGGAGTGAAAATGAATAGGGTTTGCCCCTGCTCGCTCCGACGAGAGAGAGTGCGCCGTCTCTGGGACGTGACAAGTACGTACACGGATTGATCACGCAAGCGCAACGATACGCTTCTTCTGCAGATCCATTGCTTTGGGACTCAGGCGACATGGAGTCGCAGGGTCTGCGCGATTATAGTCCCACAGCTACTTCCACAGTATATACGGATGCCGTCGTCATCTTAGTTCATCTCCCCAGATACTCAGAGAACAAAACAACAGTATTCACACAAGAGTAAGTGCTGCTACTCATCACACAATATTAGCTAATATTCATTTGCAAAAACACTTCTTTGTTAGAATACTATCTGTTGTATTAGTGGATGTCGATAAAGTAATATTTTCCTGGAGTCTGGTGGACTGCTTAAGAGAGCCACTGCAGGTCTTACAGGCATTACACCTGTCTCTGGCTGTCTCCACCAGCATTTTGTACTGTCTCATAAGAGTATCCTCATCCTCCTCTTCACTGCCCAGGCTAAAGTCAAGTTCAGGGGGAATTCCCCACTTGGACATGTACCTCTGTTTATGTTCTGGTGTGATTTCATCTGAGAAGCTGTCTGAGTCGTTGCACCACAGAGAGAAGACTAGGGCGTCACGGAATTGGGTGATGTCTCTCACTCTGATGTACCAGGCATCCAGCTCCATCAGAGACTGAAGGTCTCCCTTCTTGTACACCATCATTACCCCCACACACTCCGTGAAGTAGCTCTTGGACACGCTGAGCACGTTGTTCCTCTCCATATTGGCCGTGTCCCAGAGTACCACCTGTTATGAAAGGTCTACTGAGTGCCTGACCTGCAGCGCCTTCCGCTCACCTGCACATCCTCTGGCCCCAGACTCACGATATGCTCGTACTTGTCCCAACCTCTAATGCTCTTCGTCGCGTCTCGACTCAAGTGTTGGAATAAAACGCTCTTCCCGACTCCGTACTTGCCTGCCAGGATAATGTTGTACGGCTGAGTACTGGCCATTGATTCTGCCCCTTTTGTTAACGAGCCCTACCCCCTCGCTCAAGTGGGTGTGGGCGAAAAGGCGCATGCGCAGTATTGAGATGAATCTGAAGGGAGACTTGCCTCGACTGCAAGAGCAGTATGGCAGTAGACACAACGGGAGACCTACAGCCACGTACATGTGTGACCACATTGGCCTACGACGGATCAAAGCAGGCGCCAATAGTGGACTTTGGCAGCGCCCAGGCAAATTCGTCAAGGTAAATCTTGCACTATGCATGTCCGTAGCGTCATTAGGAATTACCCAAAAACCTTTGGAATGGCTGTCTTCCACATTTCCTACCGTACTCCTTGACTCTGCGGCTCCCTCGACCTATACGCATGCAGCTGGTGTGCATGCACCTTCATCACCATTCAAAACACTGCGCGCATGCAATTTCATTCTCCACCCTGCCTTATGTAGTCAATAAACTTTGTTTGATATTCCCCTCCAATTTTCTCATTCGTAATTTTTGCACATGCATGAACATCAGCAAATCCTGAATGCATACGAGGCCATTATCTGTTTTTCTTGTCATCACGTGTGTCCTGTGGGGGCTCTATATTGACTGGAGGAGCAGATGTAGAGTCATCCTGCTGTAGTTCTCCTGCAGTGGAGGTAGATACCAGGCTTAGTGGCTCACATACTATGAGCAGTGTACCTGCGGCTAGTCTGAAGAAGAGTCTGGTGAAGTCAGTAGCTCCTCCTCTCCTGAAGGTGAGAGTGAAGGACCGTCTTCTCCCTGGAAGACATCTGTGTACACACACAGTAAGGAGTGAGCACCACACACACGTACCTCCATCCTCATACTCCCCGACAATATAGTTAGCTCCAAATATTGGCTGGTGCAGCTATAGCCAAGGACAGGCGTAGTGTTTTCAGGATTTTGAAAAGCTTACATCAATGTGCTTGATGACTGTAAATGGTAGTGATGTCCTTGTTTCCCCGTTTACCAGATCCAACTGCAGTATATTGTGTGGTAAGCAGGCTACATAGTTCGTAATACCTGCTCATTTCTTAGCTCCACTGCACATGTCTCTCCGACAACTTGTGCCGGAGCACTCAGCTGTATACTCACTCCTTCCACTGTCAGCAGAGCTCTGTTTCAAAACGAGTTTGAAGAGCGACTGAACAAATGGCCGTTACCTTTCCGCCATTTTGTTAGGTTTGCGCATGGGTGCAATATTGGGGGCGTGGTTGACAAAATGGCGCTGTCTCGGGCGGCGAAGCACGAGCAGAGACTACGGGAGGCGGCCAGTGTAAGGGTGGACGCATTCAGTAATTTCAAACCTTACTTTAAAGACAAGCAGTTAGACTTTCTGCTCGATGAAGCACCCTCGACTGAAGTCCACGGCCTCTCCGTCCTCTGTCTCCGGGTCATACTCCGCACGCGGATCCCGTACGAACACCTCGCAGTACCCACCATCTTACGGAAGAGACTAGACTACTTACGTAACCTCATCCAGTTGCAGGGGCCCAGAATCATGAAGTGCTCAAAGTGTGGGAGGTTCTACACCGACCGAGAAATGTTCGACCGTCACGAATGTGACCCTCGCAAGCGCCCTGTCAAGTGGCTATAGCACACGGCCGTATAAAAGGTGCAGGAAGTTCTTTACAGAAGATCAGACACTCGTTATCCCGTCATAAATTTTGCCCGTATATACCTCGTGCTTGCAGGCTCCACGTGAATAATGAATTATTCATGATCTCATTATGACGTAGGAGGTTTTTCTGCCACAAGGCTACCCTGACACAGTGAGCAGTGACTACCTACACTACCAGCTGTGGGACACGCTCCAGGTGGGCAAAGACAGGGGAGGGAGTGTTCGTGAACTATGTCTCTCCAGGCGTTCTGTTCGTCCATAACGACAATGCTGGCGACTCTGGCGGTATTGAAGGGGGTGGGGGTAGGGGACGATACTGCCACGCCTCTTGCTGCCACCATCACCTGGATGTTCAGAGGTACGTATGGTTGCCATGGTTTTATTCTAGAATTATCAAAGATGGGGTTGCTCTACCACAGAAGGCCACATAACTGATCATGCTACTGTAATAATACATAGATGATATTGTAGTCTTATATTACTAGTGTCTCCTCTCTGGCAAGTTCTCCTATATACCTGCAGATGGAGCCGGGATGATCAGTAAGATCCTCTTTGCTTGGATGAAGGGGTGAGTGTAGAGCTATCCCTATACTATATTGACCGTGTTCCATGCATTAGGGTTGATCTGGACTGCAATGCCAAGAGGTGGAGGTATGTTCATGTCAGCATTAATTCAGCAGAATTTCATCAGTCACAGTATGAAATTTTTGGTTAAACTGGTTTTTATGCAGTAATGACCGATTCTTGCCACCTTTGTTGATGAATACATTCCCATCCTCAGACTAGTGGCTGATGTTCTGAATGATGTGGGGAGGTTCCTTGAATTAGTGGCTCCTTCCCTCCCACACTTGTTCCTCCCCCTGGTTTGCCTGGCCTCCGTGTCAACCGTGAGTTGGTCCACAGTCGTCACCCACGGCGACCACTGTGGTCTACCACACAGGCCATAGTGGGCACCGCTGGCATGGCGACGCGAGCTGCTCTGGTCCAACACCAGGCTCGCCGGAACAACATGGCCGACGTTGCTGCCAAAGACAACAGTCAGGTAGGTCTTGTGTTCAGAGGATCATCAATGTCTCTGTTTGTAGGAGACGGTGGTGAACCTGCTGGGGCTGCTTGTCAACCTCTGGGTGTCTTCACTTGTTGCTGAGAGTCAGTTGTGAGTCACCGTACCTACTCCCTCCTCTCTTTATCTCTCTCCTCTAGTCTGGTGTGGGCTCTGTTCACTGTGTTCACAGTCCTTCACCTGTGGGCCAACTACATGGCAGTGTCTGTGGTCTGCATGGAGACCTTCAACCAGAACAGGTCTCCACTCTAGACCCACAACACAGGGCCTCACTCTCTCTATCTCTGTGTGTCTATCTACAGACTCCATATAATGATGGAGCACTATCTGTCTACTGGGGTGGTACTGGATCCAGCCACTGTCAACACCAGAGAACCTATCATTGCCAGTGAGATTCCCTGGATTGCCTGTTTTCGGGATATCGTTTGAATCGCAAAACATTCATAGGACAGAACTTGAACGTTTTTTTTCCACAAATCATTTGGTTGTATATATGTTATTATTTCTATATTGACCCCAATTAGAGAGAATGCATCTAACCATGTGATTTCACTTTTTCTCAGGGTCTACCAGGATACTATCATACAGACTGGGAGCCAACGCGTCTTCTGTAGTCACCAGGTACATATATAGCATCCACTCAAGGGCACCAGGTACAGTACACGTGGTGTGGTGTCAGTTCTGCAGAGTTCAGAGCGGCAGTAGCCAGAGACAGAGACGGCCACAAACACATTCTCAAGTACCTGCCATCACAGAGAATAGGTCAGACAGGGAGGGTGTGGTGTTAGCTGGAGAGTGACGCTCCACGTGAAACACAGTTCTTGTGGCTCTGAATGTTGCCAGCTCCACTGTGGACCAGCTACAAGCAGCTCTATCTATAGAGGTTCTTGACTACATTTTGTCAGGGCACTCTTCATCAGTAAGCCACACCCCCAGTCTCCCTCTCCACCTCACCTCCTTCCTCCACAGAGCAGTCCGGTCTTGGCGCAGTTCAGTCAAGACATTACATCTCTACTACGAGGTTTGTTATGAATAATTTACTGTGTCCCAAACTCCAATGTTATTGTTGTGTGTGTGTGTGTGCAGGAGGCAAGGGAGATGAACTTCCCACCCACGTGGATGACAAAGTCTGTTCATGCCTGTTTCCCTCCCTACTCCCTGCCCTCTCCCTCGCTGGTTGGGACACCTCTCATCTTCTCCTAGCCACCAGTGAACCACGCTATTCATGGACTCAGGACTCATGAATATTATTATGGTGACCTGCACGTGACAGTTATAAATATTATACATATTGGGTTTTCACACAGAATCAATGTGCATGTATTGATAGAGAGCTGGTACCGAGTCCCCATTGTTTCCTAGATACCTGAGAGCCGGTGGTCAAGTTCTGCAATTCTCTAATCGAGTTCTGCATGTCTTTTCTCTCTCCCTCCTCTCACCCTCTATTGACAGCAGTCGTACAGTGTCACTGTATCCTTTGGACAGACAGATATTAGAGTGGTATCTCCGGTGTAGCTCTCTCGCCACGACCTCTAGAACCTCGTCCACGTTCTCCCCAGTCTTGGCCGACACGTAGAGCCACAGCCTGGAGCCTAGTCCTGCACAGAACACCTCCACCCTCTGCTCCGTGATGTAAGGGTCCCTCTTCAAATCACTCTTGCTCCCCACCACCACCCATACAAAGTCACGTCCCACGAACGACTGCGCGTTCTGCACCTCCAGTTCCATCTTGTAGAACGACACCGCGTCGTCCACGCTGAACATGAGCACCGCAGCGTGTGCGTTTCTATAAAAGTTGGACGTGAGGCTCCGGAATCTCTCTCCACCGGCGGTGTCGTACAGCACCATCTGCGTGTTTGGAAACAGCCTTGCGCTAGAGAATGTCAGTTGTGATTGGCCTACCTTGATGGAGGTATCCTCGTCGCTGGAGCTACTGCTGGGGACTGGCACGTCCTTGACGTAATAGTCCACGGCACAGCAGGACGCCCTGGTCGGCGAGAACACTCCGTCGCGTACTCTTAGAAAGAATGCGGTCTTTCCGACGCCCGCCGTTCCCAGCAGAATGACCTTATGTTGAGGCGAGGCTGCGTGCCGGGGCTGCTCCGTGTGCCAGGTAGATATCTGGTATCCTAGCCGGACTGCGTTGCCGCCTGGTTCAGACATCTTCCATTCCCAGCTACGAGCCACGCCCCCCTCCTAAACAATATTTTGCGCGCGCGGAAAACTTACTTACGGTACGGAGAAACGCAGCGTACCAAAAAGAATGCACCTTTCCAAATACAGATAACTCTTTCTCTGACACGTACAATGACACACATGTAATAATATGCACCCATAGCAAACACACACTACATTAGTGAGCAGCAAGTTTGTTTCTGTTTCCCGCCACTCGGTCTAATGATGGTCCCAGTAATTGTAGTGGGAGCTGATGATCGAGTGCTCCTGGTCCTGTGGAGGTAGTGAACCATCTTCTCAAATGACTCCATCACGTTATCTCCTGTCTTGGCAGAGGTGAAAAAACTGAGCTGGGTCCCGAGGATGTCACAACGGGCCCTAATACTCTCATGTTCCACCTCCAACGGAAGGTCAGACTTGTTGCCAACCAGAGCAAACACAAAGGAGTCCATGTCCACCACGTCTGCCGCACTCTCAACCCATTCCTGCAAGTTCTCAAACGTGTAGCGGTCCTCTACACTGTACATCAAGATGGCTGCGTCAGCGTGTCGGTAGAAATTGGCAGTCAGTGTCCGAAATCTCTCACCTCCTCCAGTGTCGTGCAGGTAGGCCTAAATAACAGGTACATGACATGAAAACCGACACTTGCTGAAGCCCTGACTGAGGTCGAGCCGTCTGACCTTTACTTCCTTTTCGTCCACAGTTACTTTGTGCTCTAGATGATCCACACCCATGCTCATGGCGGTATTTTCCGTGTCCACGAATTCTCCCTGCCTCACCTGCAGGAACCACGTCGTCTTCCCCACTCCCGGGTCCCCCAGCAACACGATCTTGTACTCCGAGTCAGCAGCCGTCGCCATCTTTTGCCACCGCCCCGCACGAGCCACGCCCTTTCTAAACATGTAGCTATCGTCGACCCTTGACCCTCAAGCCCTGGACCCACGTGGCAGAAGTCTTTGCCACTGCAAGATCTTTAACTATGTATAAACGACAAAGGTCGGAGGCTGCAGTTTCAACAGTGGGTGAAGACGCTAAAGGGGCGGCAGACGATCTGCATATTGACGTGAGTACAAGAAAAGCCAACCTCACCGCCACACTGTTGAGAGTGTAACTTTGCGCAGCCGTCGACAGAGATACGTGTGTCGGAGGACGAGGAGAACCTCTCTGGAGAGGACAGCGAGTTCTCAGAGCTCTCCAGTGAGCTGGACACTGAACCAGAGGATCTGGACCCTGAGGTACATGTTTACTATCCGTATCTATCCACTGAATGGTGTCTTCCAGGATGAAGGAGAGAGTGGGGAAGAGGTAGGGAGTGGGGAAGAAGATGAAGATGAGAGCGAGCGGTTTGCCAAGTCATGGCTGGAAGCAGAGGAGACAGACACCTCTGATGAAGAGGTGAGGGAAGAGCAGGGAAGGGAAGGAGCCTCAATAGCTGTTTTCACAGGAGGTGAGGAACACTGTCGGGAACATTCCTCTGGAGTGGTACGACGACTACCCCCACCTCGGATACGATCTGGACGGAAAGACCATCTCAAAACCAGCACGAAGAGACGAGGTTAGCCCCTTCCCTGATTGGGAGAGGTTCTCCCTATCTCTCTGGCTGTCAGCTGGAGGAGTACCTGGCGAGGATGGAGGACCCAGCCTACTGGAGGACTGTAAGAGACAAGACCACAGGGAGAGAGGTGGTCCTGACTCAGCAGCAGATGGAACTTGTCCAGCGACTGCAGAGCTCACACTTTCCCGAGGAGGGGTATGACCAGTACGAAGTAAGCATCTACTTCTCTATCTCGCTAGCTACCTGTCCACCTCTGATTCCTCTACAGCCATATGTAGACTTCTTCAGTGGAGAGAAGATGATACATCCTCTCAACGACACAGTCAAGCCAAAGAGCAGCTTCATTCCATCTCGCTGGGAGGCAAAGCAGGTGTCGCGACTGGTGCATGCCATCAAGATGGGCTGGTTGAAACCACGAACCAAGTCAGACAGACCAAAGTTCTACATGTTATGGGGAGAAGGTGACAAGGTGAGAGGTTTGACAAAGACATGGAGAAACTAATTGTTCTTTTCTTTCTTCAATTTTCCTTATTGACCTGTACATGTCCGACTGTATTGAGAACATTATTATTGTTGCTAAAGTTTAGGCCACCCAATTTACCTTTGTCTCTCAGGCAGAAGTGGGTGCGCGACATCGCATGCACATCCCTGCACCAAAACCACCTCTGCCAGGTCACAGCGAGTCGTACAACCCTCCCCCGGAGTACCTGCCTACTCCGAGTGAGGTGAGCGCACCCCACTTTACTCCACTCCAGCCTGCGAGGAAGACTCTCTCTGTCTGTAGGTGAAGCAGTGGGAAGAGGAGGAGGAGGGAGAGAGAGCAAGTTTCCTGCCTCACAAGTGAGTCTATCTTTTCCTCACAAAACCCTCCAAACTTCCTGTTGTCTGAAGTGTTGGTGTATCTCATGCATGAGGGTCCTCTGTCTGCAGATATTGCAGTCTGAGAGAGGTGCCTGGCTACCAGCGGTTCATTCAGGAGAGGTTCGAGCGATGTCTGGACCTCTATCTCTGCCCTCGACAACGGAAGATGAGGGTAAGCTCATTCTGCCAGAGAAGGCCACACCCACTGCCCTGCCCACAGGTCCAGGTGGACCCCGATGACCTCATTCCTAAACTGCCGAAACCTCGTGACCTCCGCCCGTTCCCTACAAATGAAACCATCGTGTGAGGACAGGGACACCTTATCCCACCACCTTCCCTTGCTTCCTCTGTCTGCAGGTGTACGAGGGTCACAGTGGTATGGTGAGGTGTGTGGATATAGAGCCACTGGGACAATGGGTGGCCTCAGGTCAGTCTCTCCTCCTTACAGCACTCTCTGCTGTCTTCAGTCTTCACTGAACCATTGATATTGTCCAATGGAAGAAGCTCCCTATCTGTGGTGCAGGTTCAGAGGATGGCAGTGTTCGTGTGTGGGAGATTTTGACCGGGAGATGTGTGAAGACGCTCTCACTACCCTCACCCCCTCACTCCCTCTCCTTCTCCCCCTCCCCCTCCTTCACTCTCCTGGCCGTCGCTGCGTGAGTCAACTCGGGCATCACGTGACTATCACATGACTTGGCTCATCACAGAGGAGGTGTGGTGTATATCATGAACCATGGTATGGGAGATCGACTACTGGTGACCTCAACTGACTCCAGAATGTCTGCTACCGAAACCACACCCACTGCTGCCGAGGCCACACCCACCACTACTACTTGGGAGGAATGTACAGCAGCCGAGAAAAAGTTGGGGTTCAGACTCCGTATCCAGCACGACATGGTGTGATTTGTTGATGAAATACGCCTTCAATTCCAACTAATGCACACCTTATATTCCAGCCAGTGAAAGAAGTGGTGTGGCATTGCAAGGGAGACTATCTGGCTGCTTTAGTAGCGGAAGGTAAGTCTGTTTCTCTTTCTTCCTCTATCCACCTATTTATCTTTTCTCGCTGATGTTAATCCCCAGAGAGCAATACTGGAGTTGTCATCCACCAGGTCTCCAAGAGGAGGTCCCAGGTGAGAGGAGAAGCATGTTGTGAGTGAAATGACAGAGACTATGTCTTGGCTCAGAAACCATTTAGGAGTGTTAAGGGAGTGGTTCAGAGGATCAAGTTCCACCCAACCAGACCCCTCTTCTTCATCGCGGTACGTCACACACACACACACACCCTCCCCTACTCCCCACAGGCACTGTCACTCCATACAGACACAGACAATGGTGAAGGTGTATGACCTGGCAAAACAGGAGCTGGTCAAGAAGCTGCAGGCTGGAGTTAAGTGGATCTCTAGTATTGACATTCACCCTGGAGGTATGTAAAGGCTGCAACCCCTGATGGTGAGTGTGCCTCCATGTACAGGTGACAACCTAATTCTGGGAGGATACGACAAGAGAGTGTGTTGGTTTGATCTGGACTTGTCCAGTAAACCATATCGTGTCATCAGGTATGAGTACACTTGTAGGTTGACAAACTGTGTGTGGTGTGTGTTTATTCATAGGCAGCACAAGCAGGCAGTGAGAGGAGTTTGCTACCATCCTCGCTACCCCCTATTTGCCTCCTGCAGTGATGATGGCTGCATCACCATCTGCCACGGAATGGTCTATGAGTAAGTTCTGACCATTATGACATAATATTTTAATGATGTCATTATGACATCATATACAGTGACCTAATGGAGAACCCTCTAATTGTGCCGGTGAAAGTTCTGAGAGGCCACAAGCCTGTAAATTCATTGGGTAAGCCCCTTTAATTGCCCGGTATCGGTGTAATAAAGTACACTGTGATTTCAGGAGTGTTAGAGGTGGTTTTTCATCCTCATCAGCCATGGCTTATTAGTGCAGGGGCTGACTCAACACTGAGACTGTATTCATAGTGTACATAAGTTATCTCTCACTCTGGCAGACCACTATTTCAATTTGCACAAACCATACTAAAAAAATACACACTAAAAGTGAGACACTAACACTTACATGAGGAGGGGTTTGAAGTATTGTTGCTATCAGAAATGTTCACTATGTCGTCTGAGCCCTGGGCTGCTGGTCTTCGCAGCTCTGACTGGAGTGAATCTGGCCTGTGGAGAGCGTGCGCCAGCTTCGAGAAGGCCTCTCCAATCCCTTCGTTGGTCTTGCACGACGTCTTGTAGTGAAGTTCAAATTTGTGGGCTGTGGCAAAGGAGTGTGCGGTGTTTTCATCAATCTCTCCCAGAGACTCCTGGTCTGACTTGTTCCCCACCAGCATGCGAGTGGCGTTGGGCGCAAAGCTCTCAGTGTCTCTGATCCACTGGGCCAGGTAGTGGAGAGACGAGGCCTCAGACATGCTGTACACAAACACAGCTGCATGGGCGTTGCGATAGTAGTTCCGTGTCAGAGTCCGGAACCGTTCCACGCCAGCTGTGTCCCAGATACTCAGCTGGGAGGAGGGGAAGAGGGAAGCCAGCCATTGTTGGGGACTACAAGACACGTGCAGTAGGTAACACAGTAGGTGTGCACGGGTGGTGTCAACAGATTGTGTGTCAGCTTTTTACTGTGAGCGAGGCTCGACCTGCGGCCCTCTGTCTGTCTGTTTTGTGGATCAGCTTACCATGACAGTCTCCCCGTCCACCTTGACGACCTTGGTGCAGCTGTCGATGCCCGTGGTCGCCGTCTGGTACTCGTCGAACGTGTTGTCCTTGAGTCGGCGGAACAGCGAAGTCTTCCCGACCCCCAACTCGCCGAGCAGCACAACTTTATACGTC